TGACCAAGTAGGCTTAATTCTTAGGATGTAAGGTTGGGTCAACATATGCAAATCAATAAATGGGATTCATCACATAAACAGAACTAAAAAAAAAAAACGACAGGATCATCTTGACAGATACCGAAGAGGCTTTCAATAAAATTCAACATCCCTTCATGTTAAAACCCCTCAATGAACTAGGCATTTAAGGAACACACCTCAAAATAATACACGAAGTGTGGCAGTTCCTCAACACCTATAATCAGAAATACATTCAACCCAGCAATCCCATTACTGGGTGTATACCCAAAGGAATATAAATTGTTCTTTTTTAAAGACACATACACATGTACGTTCAATGCAGCACTATTCAATATAGCCAAGACATGGAGTCAACCTAAATGACCAGTGGTAGACTGGATAAAGAAAATGTGGTATACATAAAACATGGAATACTATACAGCCAAAAACAAGAATGAGATCATGTCCTTTGCAGCAACATGGATGGAACTGGAGGTCATTATCTTTAGCAAACTAACTGAGGAACAGAAAACTAAATATCCCATCTTTTAGCTCCCACTTATAAGTGAAAGAACACAAGGACACACAGACAGACAGACACTGGGGCTTACCAGAGGGGTGAGGGGATAGGGAAAAATAATCAGTACTAGGGTTAATACCTGGGTAACAAAACAATCTCTACAATAAACTGTGTGACACAAGATTACCTATATAACAAACTTCCACATGTATCCCTGAACTTAAAAAGTTAAAAAAAAAAAAAAAAACCAAAAGATTCCAATTCACCTAATGAAATTAATATAACTTTAACATGTCTTATAAAGCTAATATGAAAACTAGAAGTCTAGATTAATCTCACTTACAAATAGTTGTAAAAATTCTATGAATTAATAAATACTATATAGTAACTCAGTATTTTTAAAGAAATTGTATGAGATGTTATTAACTGGCTCGATATTAGCATACCTATTAATATAATCTACTATAATAATAAAGGAGAAAAGGATCATATCATAGATGCTAAAAGAATCTTTGATTAAATTTAGGAGCACTCATAATGAAAACTCTAAGCAAAAGATCAAAATATTAAAGACACGTTAATAAAACTCAACAAAAATAATCCTAAATGACACACTTTTAATTGATGTTAAAATCTAAAAAAAATAGAAATATTGTCTACTGCCCTGTTACTAAACATGATCTTTGAGATTCTTGTGACTAAAAAAAAAAACTGTGTAAGTTAAGGGGAAAAAGTAAAATTGTTCTTTTGTTGATTACATTATTGCATACTCAAAAAATCCAAAATTCTAATTTAAAAACCCATTTAAATCAATAATAAGGTTGTGGATTATATAACATACAATAATCAAGTATATTCTTTTGTGCTCACAATACAAATTTCAAATTTCAAGTGGCTTAAAAAAAAAAAAAAAAAACCAAAAGTCATTTAAAATAAGGCCCAAAACTATAAAATACTTATGAACTGGTTTAATATGCAAGACCTACATGAAAAGAATGAGATCTTATTGAGGAATATAAAAGAAGTCCTGAAACACAGTATCAGAAAGAACCCACTTTCACAAAATTTCACAAACATTTATTGTTTCCTCTGTGAATATCCAGCAGACACAGCAGCATTTAATGAAATTTAATCAGTGATGGTAGAAGTCAGGTCAGTGGTCATCCTTAGGGTGTGGAACAAGGAAGGCTGGTCTGTTTAAAGTCAACAGTCAACACAAGATTTGGAAAAAAAAATCATAAAAAGGATAAAGGAAAACACATTGACTTCCCTGATGTGTAAAGGGACTTGTAAATTTAAAAGGACAATTGTGTTGGTAAAACAGGCAAAGTATATGATATAAGTAGTTAATTCACAGACATGAGAAGAGAACAGCTGAGGCATGAAAATATGTTTAAATTTACTAGGTCCTTGCTTTACATCGAAGTGAGCAAAAGTTATAAGAATCACTTTAAAACACCAAAAGCATTGGCAACAAAAGCCAAAATAGACAAATGGGACCTAATGAAACACCACAGCTTCTGCACGGCAAAAGAAACAGTCTCTAGTGTGAATCGGCAACCAACAGAATGGGAAAAAATTTTTGCAGTTTACCCATCTGACAAAGGGCTGATATCCAGAATTTACAAAGAACTCAAACAGATTTACAGGAAAAAAACAAACAAGCCCATTCAAAAGTGGTCAAAGGATATGAACAGACACTTTACGAAAGAAGACATATATGAGGCCAACAATCATATGAAAAAATGCTCATCGTCACTGGTCATCAGAGAAATGCAAATCAAAACCACATTGAGATACCATCTCACGCGTTAGAATGGCGATCATTAAAAAATCTGGAGACAACAGATGCTGGAGAGGATGTGGAGAAAAAGGAACACTTTTACACTGTTGGTGGGAGTGTAAATTAGTTCAACCATTGTGGAAGACAGTGCGGCGATTCTTCAAGGCCTTAGAAATAGAAATTCCATTTGACCCGGCAATCCCATTACTGGGTATATATCCAAAGGACTATAAATCGTTCTACTATAAGGACACATGCGCACAAATGTTCATTGCAGCACTGTTTACAATAGCAAAGACTGGAATCAACCCAAATGCCCACTGATGATAGACTGGATTGGGAAAATGTGGCACATATACACCATGGAATATTATGCAGCAATCAGAAATGATGAGTTCGTGTTGTTTGTAGGGACATGGATGAATCTGGAGAACATCATTCTCAGCAAACTGACACAAGAACAGAAAATGAAACACCGCATATTCTCACTCATAGGTGGGTGATGAAAAATGAGAACACATGGACACAGGGAGGGGAGTACTAAACACTGGGGTCTATTGGGGGAAAAAGGGGAGGGCCAGTGGGAGGGGGAGGTGGGGAGGGATAGCCTGGGGAGAAATGCCAAATGTGGGTGAAGGGGAGAAAGCAAACAAAACACACTGCCATGTGTGTACCTATGCAACTGTAGTGCATGCTCTGCACATGTACCCCAAAACCTAAAATGCAATAAAAAATAAAAATAAAAAAAAGAATCACTTTATACCTATTAAAACTAAAAAATTAAAAGAGCTGTTAGAACTGCTATCCAATGAGTGCAAAAATAGTACTCTCATACACTGCTGGTGACAATAAGAAGAAGCCTTTCTGAAAAGCAATCCAATAGCTTCTTTTAAAATTACAACTATCTGAATGGACCTTGCAGTCCATCCTTAGAAATCTCTTCCTTAAGGAGGAAAAGCAGACATATATATATATATATATATATATATATACACACACACACACACACACACACACATATATATATATCTGTATATATAAAGAAGTATTTATTATGTCATTGTCTTGGGGCAGAAATCTGAAAGCAAAGTAAATGCCCTTCACAGAATCCCACCTGGTCCCCAGACAGGAAGGGGCAGAGCAACAAGGGGCTTGACAAAATTTCTATTAGGTTCATAGAATGAAATTCAAGAAGTAGGACAGTGTGCCTCATGATGATCCCCTTTCTGAAATAACAAAATAGGAATATGGAAGAAAATATAGAAGATTATTGAGTCATTTACATGTAAGTATGGGCAGGGGGTAGGGAGATAAAGAGAAGGCTGAAGAGAAAAGAATGGTAGAGGCAGGAGCTGTGCAGAATGAGAATGGAAACAAGAGTGCACTTGGAAAAGGCAGGTCCGATATGGTCTGGCACATTTACACGTGTATAGAAAATTACATGCACAGGTCAAGGTATAAATAAATTAAGTAAAAAGTTCAAATCAAAAAACTATTTAAGTGGAAAAGAGCTGTTACTAGTGCAAGGCCTGAGAAGAAGCCCCTAAAGGCCAGGTGTGGTGGCTCATGTCTGTAATCCCAGCACTTTGGGAGCCAAGGCAGGCAGATCACAAGGTCAGGAGTTCAACATCAGCCTGGCTAACACGGTGAAACCCCAACTCTACCAAAAATACAAAAATTAGCCGGGCATGGTGGTGTGCATCTGTAATCCCAGCTACTCAGGAGGCTGACGCAGGGCAGGAGAATCGCTCAATTCCAGGAGGGGGAAGCTGCAGTGAGCCAAGATCTTGCCACTGTACTACAGCCTGGGTAACAGAGGGAGATTCTATCTCAAAAAATAAATAAATAAATAAGTGAGAGAGAGAGAGAGAGAGAGAGAGAGAGAGAGAGAGAGAGAGAGAGAGAGAGAGAGACAGAGACAGAGACAGAGACAGAGAGAGACAGAGACAGACAGACAGAAGCCCCTAGAATCACATTCCCTGAACACTCATCTAAATGGGGGCATGCCCTTCTCAGCATACCCGCCCTTACATTGTTCTACTTTTCATCTCAGTTCTTATTGTTGTGCGACACAGATATATTCCATATTTATTTTATGCCCTTGACTATAAGCTACCTGAAGACAAGAAACTTCTCTCTGTTTTGCTCCTTATTGTATCTCAAACCTCTAGACTGCCTGGCACCAAGAAAGTTCTCAATGATACTTGTTGGAAGAAATGAGAAGGATCACACAGGAAAAGGTCAGCACTTCCATAGAAAGATAACAAAAGAAGTAAGGTCTGGAGTAGAAGTGTGAATTTCCATCTGATGAACAATTTTTTCTCAAGGTAAATAAGGCTAATAATAAGGCTTTCAAGAGAACTGTGACTGTGAGCCCATTTCAAAGGATAACATGCCAAATCACATACAGAACTTAATTTTTAAAACTTCTCCAGATACAGTAAACTGTAACAACCCCATCCAGGTCTGAGTAATACATTTAAGACTGTATGATTCCTTTCCTTCCAAAACTAAGTAATTCCAAAGAATTTCAACAGCGCCTAGACTTTCTATTACTTGTTCCCCACTCCCTTGAGCAATAAATGCAGTGCAATAGAAAGATTTAACTGCAAAGTGATCTTTTCCAAAAGAATGCCCCATTTCCTTAATTTGATTCTTTGTCTAAAGCCAAGTTCCCAAAAGGTCAGAGCGACTTACATTGCAGCCCTTGTCCGTTAGGTAACTGATTCCTTCTTCTGGGCCGATTGCCAGTTCCACTGAAATAATCCAGCTTGACTTTTGAAGGTGAAACAAGTGAGAACAGAGGTGGCAAAAGGAAAAAAGAAATACTTTAGATAAAGAGCTGTGGATATGTTAAAGGAACAAAGTGGGGGCTGGTTTGGTTTGCTATTAATCAATCTAACCAAATAAGATAAAATATTTATAACTTCATTGATCAGGATCTGTTGACCCTACACAAAGATGCACTGTGCTTATTCCAGCATACCTGTTGCCAAGGGTTTCTTTGGGATGATTAAATAGGTAAACTAGCCCAAAGAGAACAATTAATCAACAAATCACAGGGATTAAAAAAAACCACAAAAAACCTAATTATGAAAATAGGCATGCTGTTTTTTAAAAAGTGATTTTACTCTCACATTATTTTCTTTTTGTATTTTTCACATGGTAAAAAGACAAAATATCATTTTATTAAAAAAACATGGGACCAGTTAGCATTCTGTGCATCAGAAATTTAGATACACAGTAAGAGATTAGGAAAAGTAAAAGAAACCAAACCAGTCCACTTTTTCCCACATTCCCATACTTACACCAAGAGCACACTTGAAGCATTCCTTATCAAATCTGTACACTGGAGACAGGATCTCAAAGAATTTCAGAATACTCTCTTCTCTATTAAGGTTGGCGAATTGTCTAAATGTTTGTTGAATCAGTTTTCTTAGTGTTTTGGCCTGCATGACAAAATTACCAAAAATCTTGTAAAAATCAGCAATGAATAAAGACCACAATAGTAAGATTTCTCTCCTACCAACTACTTACTAACACCTACATTCATATTACCGCCAAAATGTATAGTTGTCAAATAACCATGAATGCATTTATCAGAGCTTTATTTAACTGTGGTAAAATGCACATAACACAAAATTTACCATCTTAACCATTTTTAACTATAAAGTTCATGTACAGAATTTTATTTCTTAAGCAGAAATTTGTACCATATGTGCACATGATGCAGAGCCAGGGCAGAGGTATAAAGGTACTTGTACATTCCACTGTTAGGAGGGAAAAATCAGTGTATCTTTCTGAAGGACAACACAAATTGAAAACCTTAAAAAACCACATTGCTTGATCCAGAAAGTAAAATTCCAGGACATTATTCTTTAGACATTATTAGAGATACATGCAAAGATTCAGGAACAAAAAGATTCACTGCAGAACTGTCTACGGTAATATAGAGACTGGTTACGTAAATTATGTTGTATCTATCTTCCCAACTAATATTCTATGCAGCCCCAAGAACTGTTTTGGGTCACTAATTTACTGGCATTAAAACCATAATACACTGTTACATTAAAAAAAAAAACAAACAGTCAGTGTACAGTACAGATGCCTTTAAAAGGCAAGAGCACAAGTGTTGGTCCTGGTGAGCACACAGCAATGTACTCATGAAGGAGATAAAGCAACCATGCTTTTTTCATGAAGTAAGATGATAGGTTGTCTTCTGGTCGTTTTTTATTTATACACATGAAAATCTGCATAGTGGAGAGAAATGCTTTCTAAGCAGCAAACCCTCTATCCTTGGTTTGTGAAGCAGCCTGAGGAGGCCATGGATAAAGGGTACATCATGAGGTCTAAGAAAGAGAAGCAAGAGAATGCAGGCCATAATAACAACTTGGCTTTGACCCTAATGAGATGCTAAGTCCTCAGGAGTGACATTATCTGACTCAGGATTTTTATTTTTTTGGAGACAGGGTCTCTGTTGCCCAGACTGGAGTACAGTGGTGCCATCTCAGCTCACCACAACCTCCACCTATCAGGCTCAAGAGATTCTCCTGCCCCAGCCTCCCTGAGTAGCTAGGATTACAGGTGTGCACCACCACATCCGGCTAATTTTTGTATTTTTAGTAGAGGCAAGGTTTCATCAAGTTGGCCAGGCTGGTCTTGAACTCCTGACCTCATGATCCACCTGCCTTGGCCTCCCAAAGTGCTGGGATTACAGGCGGGAGCCACCGTGCCCAGCCTGACTTAGGTTTTAACAGCATACTCTGGCCACTGTGTTGTGAACCGTATGAAAGGAGCAGGAGAGACCAAGTCGGGGGCTACCCAAATAATCCAGGCAGGAGGCGACAGTTGGCACAAGTACAGAAGCAGAAAGGGGGTGAGAAGCAGTCAGATCTAGCTTTCTTTCTTTTTTTTTTTCTTCCAGATTGGACTCTAATGGATTTATTTTAAACACAGAACAGGATATGCTGATAGTTAAGAGTTGCCATTGAACTGAAAGGGCAAAAACTGTGAGAGGAGCAGGTTGGTGGGTAAAGGTCATAGAGAATGCTAGAATATCAGAAATCTAAGTGGAGCTGTCAAGCAGACCAGTAAGGGCCCGGTGGAGTTCAAGGGGAGGTCCTGGCTGGCCCAGCAGACAGGGAAGATGGATTAGGTGACCTGCTAATCTCAAGAGGGTCAGGCAGATGGGGAGCAGCCATGGGCCCAGGTTGAGGTGTGGCTGCTAAGTCAGGTGCACAGTGAACTAGGAGGGCATGGCATACTTTGGTGGGGTCATGGAGGCAACAGCCTGTCTGTAGTAGCTTGAAGGTCCTAATGGATCCAAGGGTTACTGGATTTGGGATACTACAGAGAGTAAGCTGGAAAGACAGGAGATGGGTCTGAGAAAAGGATACATACAATTAGGGAGGTGTTGCAATTACTGAAAATGAGTAAGACCAGAGTTAGAGGTTGAGATAAGGCAGAGGACAAGATTCCTGAAGATAGGAGTTCAATGAGCCAAGAGAGTGGGACATGGGAGGATTACCTAAGGCATGTGACTTCTATTTTAAAAAGCTCACTCTGCTTTTGTTCACAGCGGGCTGGGGGAGTGTGCAGGAGTGAAAGCAGTCAGGTCACTCACTAACAGACCAACCAAGAATACTAGTGACCTGGATCCCAAGGTGGTGGTAAAAGAGAGAAATGGGTACTTTTGGGACATTTGGATGATCATATGCAAGACAAATGGAAAGTGAAGAATCCAGGAAAACTAGAGTTTTAGATGGAATAAATAGGCAAACATAAGAGGCAGGCTTGGTGAAAAAAAAGTCATGTAAATCCTGTACATGTGTTTGATCTTGAAGTCTTCCTACATGAATCATCCAGGAGATATTTAGATATAAGTCTGGAGCTGAGGAGAGGGGAACACTGTTGGTAGAACTTTCAGAGCTACCAGCTAAAGTATTTAAATATAAAAGACTGAATGGCACCTGCAAATAAAATGAAGACAGAAGAGAACACCAAAGCCAGGCAAGCTGGCCAACAGTTCGTTTTAACCAGGGTGAAGTTTTGACAGGTGAGCATGATAGAGTGGAACAGGAGAGTTACAGCTATTTTGAAAAGGATTAATTACAACATCACAGAACTTAAACTGAAGAGCAATAAAATGGGTTAGAGGTTAGCAAGGCTTGACTACAAAATATATCATATAGACGGTGAGTTGGTCAGCCTGAAATGCTCTATAAACAGAAGTCTGAGAAGATTCTGCTTTGACTCCAGGCTTTCCAAACATTGTCTGCTTATGATTACCTATGTAAGTCAGACTATCCAACAGAGCATGCAGACTAGACACGGAGATTTGAGTACCGCCTGTAGCCACCTACAAAATGTTTTTCTCCATATAAATTAACAATATAGTATCCTGGGACTTTGCGACTATAAAGCAGTCTGTAAGAAGCAAGCCCGCTACACTCTGGACCCAGAACAAATCCATTAAGGAAATTCTATTCTGTGCTTGGCACTTGGAATACACTGCAGAATCAAAAAGTCAGAGTACAGCTGGAAAAAGAGCATTCTGATCTTCATTGATGGCTATAGGAGGAACAGTGTAATTCTGTGCAGACAGTGCTGTTAGGCTGATTAAAACACACAAACACACCAAAAAAATGATGCCAGAAAAGACATCTGTAGGCCCTTCTGTGGAAATAAAGTCTATGTCTTTACAATGACCCCTGCAAGGGAGATTATTATTTTTCATATATTAGTGAGCAAACACAGACTCAGAAACATTAGGTAACAACATGGGGGTAGAAAAATTGGGATTCTAATCCAGACTGCTTGATTTCTTTTCATTAGCTATGTGACCAATTCAAACACTTCCTTTTCTAAGATGCTCTGCCTGATAGAAGAAACCAGAAAGAAACTACCACATCCCTATGGGTCTCATATTGCTTTGAATGTATTTTTAGACATGGCACTTATGTAAGATTCATATTGGTGAGAAGGGAGCATGAGCTGCCTTGTTTCTCCAAAGAAAAGAGTGTGGCTCCCAGGTGAAACTCAATTATGTGCTTTACAATGAATAACTGTATGTCTCTGCCATAACAACTTGGATTGTGGCAAACTCTCAAACAGATAATATTAATCAATAAAATGTAGTTGTATCCTGTGATAAATGACATTTCCCTTTCTAGTAAGTGGGAAGATAGTTCAGACTTCTTTAGTTTCAACCTTCTATCATAGAACATGCTGCCTCAATGTATAAATGCTCTGAGTGTAAGCAATGTCTCCCATCTACAAGTATTAATAGAAAATAAGCCCAGTGAAAGTCGTGGAAGATCATAAATTACTCTTTAAGTGTATGATACAATAAACTGGAATACGGTAGCAGTTGCAAGGAATAGTTGTCAATTGAGCAAGGGACCAAAACATAATGGCAAAACATTTCTATAGCATTAACCAAACGTTGGTATGCTCATTCATGACTCTGAGAGGAATACTTCAACTCCGGTAAATATCGAGATGCAGAGATTAAAAACTACGTAAAATAGGACCAGAAAAAAATAGTCCATTCTCTGCTTTGTACCTAATTCTCAACCAGATGCTGGTTTATACATAAACTACTGGCAATAATATTATATACTGACATTTGCTCATTTGTTCAATGCTTTCAAAAATTAACCTAAAATACTCTATGAATTAACAGAAATAGAAGTCGAGGAACTAGAATCTGTTCTTGAGCTTCAAATGCATATATATATGTGCGTGCACTTGTTAGGTATATATGCACTTGCCTACCTAACAGTTAACACTGCAGTTTCTCACAGACATCTAAAACCTGCCACTAAGAGCACTGAGGTTCCAGCCGTGGTAGTTTATTGGCCCTACCCAACTGGACCCTGAAATACACTACATCTGACTTAGTTACAATGCTATCACTCTGAACTTATTCCTTCCCATACTCCTTCCCCTTGACCTTCATAGTCTCAAGGCACTTCAAGTTCACAATTTACACAGCTGAATGCATCACTGTCAGTCCTACCCAATTCAGCTTCTGCTTCAATACTCTGTCTTCTGACTAGTAGCACTAGAGAGCACTTAAGTATAGAAAGCAGAAATCTGAGGCCAGGCCCTGTACTTTCTTCTTCCTCTGTCAACATTAGACCAGTAGCTAAGTCCTATTAGACTTTATACTCATAACATCCTTCAAATGTATCCCAACAACTTTCTAGCCTCTGTCTCCTTTAAATTCAAGCCTTACTTATTTCTCGTGGCAACAGTGTCTCCTGATGACTAAGAAACTTAAAAGAAGTTGTGTGCTGTTTCCTACAACAGGGATTGAAGCCATCAACCCTTTGCTAAGTAAAGTGAGTCAATTGATCGTCATTTTCCCATCCAAAACTCTTAGACATGGAATGTGTATGGTGGTAAAGAACTCAACTTCTCTCCCCAACAATTTAACCTGCTGGAA